CTGTTCACATCACCGTCAACTCTGTTTCACCAAGTTTTGTTTAAAAATAATTATGATAAAATATGTATTATTGTTGACAAATTAACCAGAAGCTGTCATAACTAACATTCATACTACATGAAATTTCAAAGCATTTCATTCATTTTTGGAGCTATATTTAGAGAAAATGCAAACTGTTTTGGTAAATTTCCAATTAAATGTGTCAATGTTTTTACTCCTGAAAAAAAGAGTCTTTATCTTAGAAAACTTAAAGTTGAATCAGTGGATTTAAAGACAAAAGTTCTCTTAGGAAAGACATGGGTTTAAAGTGTATTACATTTGAGAACTATAAATATTTACCCTAATTTGTCTGCAACAGAGTTGACAGATTTTACTGTTACTACGATAATTTTCAGATTGAATGTTTTAAATCTTACATGTTTAAGCTTGGCAAATGCTGGAAGTATTAAATTTAAAGTATTCTCTATGGGAATGAAAAAGTTTTACTAAAAAATAAAATAAAATAAAAATTCATAGTAGGTTGAAATGTACCTGCAATTCTGAAATGGGCTATATATTGTTACGGCCCTATGCCTTGTGGGCGGGGTATTGTTTGTGCTGGGCCGTGCCTGTGTTTGCTCCTCCCCTTTGCAGGGTCACGCTGGCAGTGGATCTGGAGCACAGAGCTTATTTAAGCTCCTCCTCTTTCCTCTGTTCGGTCTCTCCTGCCTCGTGCGCTACGGCTGCTGCTCAGCGCTGCTGCTGTCAACTCCTCCTTATGCACATTTGAGTTTATCTTTGTTTTCGCATCTCATCACCTTCGCATACATACATCCAACACATCCAAGCATTTACATTTCACCACTGACACTCATACCTCATCCTAATTTGTGTTTATCCTGATTTGACATAAATAAATGTTACTTTCCTTGCACTTTCAAACGGCATTGTCTCCCATTCTTGTTATGACCTGAGCCAGTCATAACAATATATATATACAGGGGTTGGACAATGAAACTGAAACACCTGGTTTTGGACCACAATACTTTATTAGTATGATGTATGGCCTCCTTTTGCGGCCAATACAGCGTTAATTCGTCTTGGGAATGACATATACAAGTCCTGCACAGTGGTCAGAGGGATTTTAAGCCATTCTTCTTGCAGGATAGTGGCCAGGTCACGACGTGATGCTGGTGGAGGAAAATGTTTCCTGACTCGCTCCTCCAAAACACCCCAAAGTGGCTCAATAATATTGAGATCTGGTGACTGTGCAGGCCATGGGAGATGTTCAACTTCACTTTCATGTTCATCAAACCAATCTTTCACCAGTCTTGCTGTGTGTATTGGTGCATTGTCATCCTGATACACGGCACCTCCTTCAGGATACAGTGTTTGAACCATTGGATGCACATGGTCCTCCAGAATGGTTCGGTAGTCCTTGGCAGTGACGCGCCCATCTAGCACAAGTATGGGGCCAAGGGAATGCCATGATATGGCAGCCCAAACCATCACTGATCCACCCCCATGCTTCACTCTGGGCATGCAACAGTCTGGGTGGTACGCTTCTTTGGGGCTTCTCCACACCGTAACTCTCCCGGATGTGGGGAAAACAGTAAAGGCGGACTCATCAGAGAACAATACATGTTTCACATTGTCCACATCCAAATAATTGCGCTCCTTGCACCATTGAAACCAACATTTGGCATTGGCACGAGTGACCAAAGGTTGTGATATAGCAACCAGGTCGTGTATATTGACCCTGTGGAGCTCCCGACGGACAGTTTTGGTGGAAACAGGAGAGCTGAGGTGCACATTTAATTCTGCTGTGATTTGGGCAGCCGTTGTTTTATGTTTTTTGGATACAATCCACGTTAGCACCCGAACATCCCTTTCAGACAGCTTCCTCTTGCGTCCACCGTTAATCCTGTTGGATGTGGTTCGTCCTTCTTGGTGGTATGCTAACATTACCCTGGATACCGTGGCTCTTGATACATCACAAAGACTTGCTGTCTCGGTCACAGATGCGCCAGCAAGACGTGCACCAACAATTGATCCTCTTTTGAACTCTGCTATGTCAGCCATAATGTTGTGTGCATTGCAATATTTTGAGCAAAACTGTGCTCTTACCATGCTAACTGGACCTTCAGAGTCTGCTCTTATTGGTTCAATGTGCAATTAATGAAGATTGGCCACCAGGCTGGTCCAATTTAGCCATAAAACCTCCCACACTAAAATGAGAGGTGTTTCAGTTTCATTGTCCAACCCCTGTATATCCTCTAGAAAAAACCTGGCAATACATAGCAGTAACACAAAGTGTGACAAACAAGCCATCTAAGGGGATTCTGGGACAGAGACATTTTTACTTGTGGCTCGGAGTTCTGTGATCTTGCCATTGATTGCGACACCAATGCTGGAGGGTTTGGTCCCAGGCCACCTCTCAAGAGTTGCACCTAAACATGTGAAGAAATAAGGAGCGGAGGGGTTAAAGTACACTTTAATAATCTGAAAGAAATCAATAAATTGCTATATATATATATATATATATATATATATATATATCTCAAAGCCAGCAGAGAAATTTGTAGCCTATAACAGCATGTCATGAGAAGACCAATAATATACAGTAATCATCAAAATTATTCATACCCTCCAATTAAAGGAGGAAAAAAAATCAGTAGTCAGTGGAATAATTTTTCATAATACATTTAAAAAAAATCATAAAAATCATGACACTGATTTTGAATTGTGGTTCAAATTAAATATTAAAAAACAAAAAAGGAAAAAGAAATAAACAAGCATCATGGGGCACCTGAAGTTAAATTTTGTTGAGCAACTCTTCCAGACAATCACTGCAATCAGGTGTTTCTGTAACGTCCAATCAGACGCCTGCACCTGCTTACAGGTATTTTGACTTTCTTCACAACTGCAAGGTGCTCTAATTGGTCTGGAACAGCTTTGTTTGTCTGTTTTTTAAAAACCACAATTCGAAATCAATGTTTAATTTTACTACACTATATTTTTTTCTATTACTTTTTAGTTATTTGAATTAATACTGTGAATTTAGCATTTTCTGTAAATTTTAGGGAATGAATAATTTTGAAGACAACTGTACCTGAATATAATACAGCATATTATAAACTGAAGAGCAGACAGACCTCTGTAAATCAGGCTCATCAATTTGGAAAAGGCATTTCTTCGTTAATAATTAGGGCTGTCAAAAAATTAATCCTGATTAATCACATTGCT